TCATCATTATTTAATTTTTTTGAAAATTATAAAAAGGAAAATATTTGATGGGAAAAATTTGAAAAGTTACATGCCGTTTATAGTGAACTAATGAAAAATCCCATTTCGAGATTAATAGCTTTTTTGTAAGCTAATAATAATAACGAAAAGGAGAACTATTCAAATTAATATTTGTTTCCTATTTAAGTCTAATATTTAGTGCCTGCAAAATATTTTTCTTGATTGCATTTTCTAATTTAAACATGTTGCCAGATAAATATTGTTGCACGCGTAGGTTTTCGTATTCGATTGAATGCACAAGTCCGATCATAGGTTAATAAAAATGTATTTTTATCAAAAGAAATATTTCAGAACTCTGGAATTTTCCACAGAAGCATTCATACAAGTGTTCACAGTATCATGCAGTATAATCAGAAGATACATTTCAATTTACTAAGAAAGTTAAACACAACGTAATGCAAAACGTATCTAAGGAGAAAGTTAATCCTATCTCACATTGAGCTCGCAACAATAATAAGAGCAATAAACTATACCACCGAGAGCAGATGTTCTCTCTTCCGCCTTAAATAGTTTACAACCAGCAGCGAGATATTTCTAGTACTTTCTACTTTTCGAAATTACTGGAAAGCAACACGGGGGTGGAACTACGGTTACAGCTAAAACAGCATTTATTCACTTTCAATACAGATTACCAAGATACCCATTTATTTAGTGTTAAACGCACGTGTTCCCGTATTTATACTTTTCTGGCATAGCTTTCTCTTAAAATTTTTCCGGCGATACATTGTCTTGGGCATGAATTGTAGTTTCGCATCGTCAGTCAGATTTTCTTCTTATTAATTTTTAATTATGGAAAATATCTATTCACATGCAAATGTATTACCAAAATTCTTATTGCAAAAAACTGTGAGAGTACTTATTTTTCTAAAAGAGCGAATAAAAGTTGATGAAATCTGTACCGTCATAACTTTGAATAAAATTTAGAGTATCTTCTAAATTAATTAACTCGAATTATAGATTTTTCTGGTGTGTTATTCAAATTAGTTTTTCATCGTAATGAAAAAAAAAAAAAAAAAAAAAAAAAAATCTGAAACCTTTCAGATTTTGTATAACGCCCATAGCGTAATATAAATTGTGTGTGTGTGTGTGTGATTATGGTATAGCCTCGAGGGCTATCTGCCTAAGGGGAGGGATGCCTTCGTGGAGGACTTTCTAAGGGATACTGGCTCGTATACACGTTACACATGGGGAAAACCACGAAAACGCCCATGCAGCCAGCCCGTTCGCGGGCGTAATATAAATTGAAAAGTGATACAAATGACATTCAAAGTCATTCGAAGCGAAATACCATTAGACATTGCGACGTCTTTGCGTTGCTACGCTACCAACATAATGCCAGGAAGAAATGTGAAGAAAGTTCGCGCATAAAATATCCGTGTTTGAAGATGCACACGATGCTAATGTTAATAGAACCCTTTCAAATCGTTGACTTTGTTAAGCAAAAACTCGTTAAATTTTTACAAAATATGAAATACACAATAAAGCAAATTCCAAATTCGATCTTTCGGATGTCCATATTTGAGAGGGACTACGTTATTCAAAATTGAATGGCTCCAGGTACCGTTGTTTTTTCATAATGCCAGAAACATTCTTTAAATTGCTAGGCCGGGTGCTAGTATTTGGTGGCAAGAATTTGAAAAATGAAACGGAGATTTTAAATTTTCAACGCAAAATGCTAAAACGAAATTAATAGACGTTCTGGGCTAATGCCCATTGGGCTAATTATGTAAATTCGAACTTCAGATAATTAAAATCTTGAAATATTTCTAGCCATTGCTAAAATACATTCTTCGTTTCTGTTTTTGTATTAAATTTTTCTTTTCTGTGCAAATTGTGGAGGATGCAACTCAATCAATACACATTGAGTTAAACAGAGAAAGAAATTTTTCTTGTGTTCAGCTTTTTTCAACTGAAAGAAAATAAATACAAATAAAAATTAAGTTTCGTTGATTGGCAATAAAGTTTTGTTTTATGAGCTATATTAAAATCTGCGAGATTGAATGAATGACCTATCGATGCAATTTTAAAAACAAAATTCGCAAACAGAATTGGTTTTTATTCATCAGTATGGATTAGGATGTTTATTTTAACTGCTTCAAATTTTAATATATTGGTATAAAATTAACAGGATGGTACATTATGTATAAAATTAATATTTTGATGTAAAAAAGAAATTACAATTATATTCGAAACGGACACAACCATTCGCTTTGAAATCTGAGGAATTCGAAGAGATGAATAATAAAATTTTAAAATGGCGCGGTAATGCACAAATATTCAGTAATCAATCAGGGAGCTGACTACATCACGCATAGAATTAAAATTATTTAAATAATCATTCATAATAAAATCATATTTAAAAAAAAGGAAAATTAAATTGTATTTTAATATTTAACACCCATAAATAATGTTTAAAACATTAGATTAAATTTATAGATGTTAAAACCAATTACTTTTAAAATAATGTGACGTCATTCATTACATCATTCACAACATAAAATTCCATAAAATATCAGAAAATTTTTATTTCAAATAAAAATGCAAAATTAAATTAATTTTTATTATTTTGAAGTCATAAATAATATTTAAAACACGGAATTTATGCATAATAAAACGCATTATTTTTTAAATAAAATGACAACAAAGTATAGGTTACCATAAACAACTTGTCTAGCAATGGGTTTACCATAAGTCGTAATGCTCGCCAAAAAATCGCCAAAAAGTCGCCAAAATCCGTGCAACTGTCTACCAAAGTAGCACCCTTGTTTTTAGCTGAAAGAAAATAAACCTGATAAAAATTAGGTTTCGTTGATTGGCAATAATGTTTTGTTTTATGAGCTATATTAAAATCTGCGAGATTGAATGAATGACCTTTCGATGCAATTTTAAAAACAAAATTCGCAAACAGAATTGGTTTTTATTCATCAGTATGGATTAGGATGTTTATTTTAACTGCTTGAAATTTTAATATTTTGGTATAAAATTAACAGGATGGTACATTATGTATAAAATTAATATTTTGATGTAAAAAAATTTACAAACGATGTAAAGTGGATGTCATCTGTTAAATCATCTCGCTGCAAAGGGAAGTATCTTAAAATATCGCCATATGAAAGTGAGTAAATGATATGAAAAATTCAAAACTGTGAAATATATGCAGAGTTCTGAAAGAGAAATGGTGCGAAATACATGAAAAGGCCGAATCCATTAATAGCGGAAGACTAAAACATGGATATATTGAATTGCATGCTTGGTATTTTCTATAAAGAGTCTGTTATTGCCGAGGATTGTGTTTTGCAGCCAGATTTCCTGTCTTTTGTGAATGGAACTACATTTGTGCTTTTCTTTACTTTGATGAGTTTCTTCATGACAGTCTGCGTGGTACTCATGTGTGCGAATAAGGAGGTGAACGAAATAGAAGAAGAATTTTTTGATGATGTGGGACTAAGTGAAGAATCCGGAGATTTGGGGTATTTAATGATGTATACTTAAGTATTTTTAACATTTATATAGAGTTTAAAAGCATCATTAAACGAATATAGAAGTCAAACAACAAATGTTATTGTATCTTAATCATTAAACGAGTTTAAATGTCAAAAATGCACATTGTACTGATTACAAGTAATGAGATGTCAAGCTTTCGTATAAACTGAACCTTCTCTAACATAAATAATATTTTATATGGTGAAATATCTATTGAAGATTAACTGAGTTCCTATATAAAAAGTTTAAGATAATAAATGAAAATATCATTAAAGTAAATTTATAGATTGGTTTACGAAAAAAATTGGGTATTCTTCTGGTATCGGGACCGTATTCAAAAAGGTATGTACGTATACCAGTGTGTATGTATATATGTGGTCATTATGTGCTTGTGTGAATACATGCATACATACGTGCGTATAAATATACATGTGTACATGAATACATATATCCATACATATATGTATAAATGCATTCAAAAACATCATTAAATCCTATTCCCATGATAGAAGATAACCAAAACATGCAAGTTGCATTAATAATCTTTAGCTAATTTTAATTTACTAAACAGGATAAATATGCGCTAATTGAAGGGCTCTAGTGTAGAATTGGGTGCCTCTTCGATCAGCGACAATTTTTTTGTAAAATTTTCGCGATGAAATCTCATTTCTGGTTACCATAACAGTTTAACTTTGTCTTAGCTTTCTGATTTTCTTAAAATAAAAATAGATTGATGTGTACATGGATAAATTTAAAGCAGTACCCAATGTCTAGTTTGTGCAATTCTGGGATTTTTATTTATTTATTTATTTATTTATTTTTTTTTTAGTGAAAACAGATCGATGTGTACATGGACAGAGAGTTTATGTAATTCTTTGACTTTTTATTTTGGTTTTGTGTAGCGGCCATCTTGAAATTGTCTTCTTGGCGTCAAAAAAGAATCGCCAAAAAACAAGGGGCACCCAATTGTAAACTTTTACCGAAAAACGGATAGCATGTATATTCTAAGCAAGTACTATTAAATATTCATTCCAGGTAAGATCCTTACGTTTTCCATGCTATTTACAAAATTAAGTACGAAATAAATTTTAATTATAAATTGTTGATAACGTATTCCAACTCATTTTGCAGACATACACTTACTGGATAATGCATAATTTTTTCACACACTTGAGCACACTTATTGTATGAAATTCCTTTCTTAGAAATGTACGATTTTCATTTCTGCTGTAAACTACATACTGTATGTGCTTTAGATTTAACAGTCAACTTCGGTGTATACAAACTCATTTGGATTTTTAAAAAAACTCCAGTTTTTTATTTTTTATTTTCTCTCATGTCAAAATATGTATTTTAAGATATGATTATTGTTATTGCACTTAAAAAATTAGCTAAGGTTTTGCGATGTTTCAGATTACCTGTAAGATTTGTTCTTCAAGGAAAATAAAATAAGAGAATCAAACTTGCAACAATAAATTTATTTATAGGATATGAAAGCTCTAACAATAATACACAGGTATCACAGGTGCGTTTTTGACCGTAAAACATTGTACAATATTTCGCGATTGTCCCTACACCTACTAAATCACATATAGCACTCAAGCACAAAACATATTTTTTCTGTTTCTTTTATAACAAGCGGAAAGAGAGAAGTCTTAAAAATATGTAGCTTTTTTGTGGGATAGGAATTCCAAATATTTTATTGGTTAGTAAGCAAAACTTCCTATACTCTTGTAAATTGATAGGTAAAGAAGAGTATGCTTAAGCCCCTATATAAAGCGTTCTTATAGTAGCATGATACATACTTTAACACCTAAGAAATCTGAAAGGAAAAGAACAATCCTTCTTCAATGGGAGTGATAGGAAATAGCACCAGCTTTACTAGCCTAACGAACCAAGGAATGTATATCAGCAGTGAATGCATTCACTTGAAGTAAATTTTTATAAAGGCCGCAAGTCCCACACAGGAAGAAAATAGCAAGCTTATGTGAAGATTAAAAGTCCCCCGAAGTACTGCGAAAACAGATTTCAAGTCGCGCCAGACATTTTTGCTTTTTAAATAATAACTTTACATCAATCAAGTCCAAAAGCACAGTCCGTTGATTACTACAAGAAAATTCTTATATTTCGGAGACAGTTCCAATTCATTTAACTTTTACGGTTAAGAGCATCTCGTCTGGCTCTGCGCAGTAGGGGTGCTGCTCTTTGGATGTCGTCATCATTCAAAAAGTAAAGTGTAGGATCTCCAGCGTTTAGCTTGTCATTGACATAGTAGAAGCTGGGGGCTTCTGGACAAGGTATGGCATCTTCTGGACTAGCGCAAGTTAGAGTGAGTTGATTGAACAAGGTTTGATTGCCGCAAAGGAAAGACCATTGTTGAGTGCCTCTAGCGCCAGAATGGCAGACATGAAAGATCCTGCAGTTGTTGTCTACATCGGCGTAGTAACCATCATTGGAGCAGGAAAATGTTGTTTTAACATTTCCGACTAAAATATCAGCACCATCGGGAAGAGCATAAGCTTCACGCTTGGCTCTCTGTAAATAAAATGGAAAGGACAAATTTAAGACTGGTTAAAAACATTTACTAAAATAATTCTGGATTGTAACAGAACTATTTAAGTGTAACTGAACTATTTTATTCAACGCCATGAACTCATGAAGTGTAACCGAACTATTTTATTTAAACGCCATCTAGTGGCGATATGAAAAAACGTCAGTCGACCTCCAGCCGCCATGATGATAGTTTACTACGTCTCTGTTATTCAAATGTTTGATGTTCCATTTGGTATATGTTTCATTTTTATGTATATTTCTTTTGTTTGTAACCGTTCCTGTGTGCTCGGTTAATAAATCCATTTAAAGCTAGCCGGCATTAGTGTCTATTGAGGAACGGCTACATCACAGGATTAATTTTTATACGGATATAAGAATGAAATATATATTTTAGAAACCGTACATTTTACCTGAGCTATTAGATCATTGTGTTCCTAATAGAGAGTGTATAACTTATACTCACGTTAACAAATTCATTTATAAATTTAAAAAGTTTCTACAAAAATCACTTTAAAATATTGTCTTTATTTTAAATCAAAATATGTAAAATAATTATCTTAAACATTTTTATTTGCTTGATAACGATTAATTAGCTCCTGATTCTGTTTATGCGATAATAAATTGTGTGGTTTGCCGTAGTCAGATAAACCAAACCAAACCAAACCAAACCAAAAAAAAAACCAAACCTTATCACTAGAGGCCTCTCATTTTGGTACTGGTAACTAATAGATTTCAATTTGTGTAGTTTTTAGAAGAACGTTTCCATCTAGATATTTCCATTGCCTTTTCTAGACATTTGCAAAATTTGAGTTATTTTGAGTCTAAACAGTTCTCATAAAGAAAGCTCTTCTTCATCGATATAGTTTATATCAATTGCATTAGTGACTAAATAATTATGACAAAGACACAAAGAAGGATATTATTGAGAATTCATAAATTTGGCATAGGCTTGGATATAGTTTTCGCTATCTGTTATCAGACGGAAAAATTGGAGAATCAGATATTTATCTTTCTTAGTGCTATGAGAATACTTAAATTAACTGTGTTCCGAACATATTTTTCCAACAGCGCTGCCCTAAGAAATAATATTAATAGATTTGTCACAAATGAAAAAAATATATATACCTAAATCGGGAGTACACCTTTTGCTACCTGATAATGCTTTAAACTGATCAAATGACCAGAAATGAAAGTTTAAAAAAAAATACATTCTTCTTATAAGCAACACCATTTAACAAATTAAAAGTACTGAATTTGAAGTACTGTATCCAGTAGAAAAACTGCATCCATTAGAAAGACTGTTTTGTTTTGTTTTATACGGGCGCAGCATTAGAAAGACTGTATCCATTAGAAAGACTATTCTGTTTCGAGGGCCGTAAAAAATCGCCAAACTATTCTTGATGCCAATGCTGCCAAAAATAATTGCGGCAACCCTAATAATTGCGTCAAGAAAGAAGTATAATAGAAAATAACTATTTAAGATTGATGTTTTAATTTAGATGAAAGGTTAGTTTCATATAATACATTTTATTATTATAATTTATATGAAAAAAGCTAAACATGACGAAATGGAAACATAAGAGTAAATAACTATTTCAGATCATTATTATAATTTACATAAAAATTGCTAAACATAACTGAATGAATGCCTGCATCGCTGTTTCGCTACCGACTTACCGCTAAAGCATAATTTCATCTCGTTGGTTGTTCAAACGTAATTTTCTATAATGAATGATGCCTTTTCTTTGAAAATATTCTCGGTAAAGTGCAGAATCGCTCACTTATTTGTTTGCCCACTTTTGCAAGGGTAGAAACAATTGGATTTTTGTCAATTTTCTTTTACTTTTTAAGTGAAAATAGGTCGATGTGTACATAGATAAAGTCAAGGGTGTGCGCAGTGCTATTTTTGTGCAATTCTAGGATTTTTTTTTAAAGTGAAAATAGGTCGATGTGCACATGGATACCGAGTATGTGCAAATTCTTAAAATCGCGTCAAGCAGTGAGAAATTCTGCACTTTACCCAAAATTCTATTGCCGACTTTCCATCATGGGCAATTCCCAAATTGTTAAATCCATAGGATATCAAAAAAAGGATTTAAAAATTAAACTAGTATTTCAATGGCGTCTTAAAAAATATAGAACTAAACTTACGCAATCTGAAATCGGCGCGTACGCTAGATTTGGCGCTTATAAATGGGCGCGTTTGCTAGATTTGGCGCTTTTGCGCATGCATTTTCACTGTAATTTTTTTACGGCCCTCGAAACAAAAGTACCGAAAGACTGTATCCATTAGAAAGACTGTATCTATTAAAAAAGACTGTATCGAAGATTCTATCCATTAGAAATTAATAGCAGATTGAAGGATATAACAAAGAAAGGGAACCTTTATCCAAGGATCTCAGTATTTTGAAAGGAGAAAACTTTCTGAAGCTGAATTTGAGAAACATCCCGTACAAACCCGGGAGAGTCAGTTTGACCGAAACGAAAACTTGAAGACTTTTCACTTTTGGACATTTTGTTTTGTTTAACGTTTGTAAAGCTCTCACTTTAGAAAGGCGGGAGTATGCTAGAAATGCTATTTCTAAAAGCCTTCTCTGAGAATTTGAGAATAGAAATCCAATGAATTTGGCAATGAAAATAATGTTTTGTTTTTAGAACATTGAGTTTAGCTGATAGCTCTTTTTTTGTTTGAGACGCCACTAACCATTTTATTTAGAACTTGTATTTCTGATGTTAAACTTATGTAGTTTAACATCAGAAATTTAACTTTAACTTTGTTTATGTAGCTGTAAATATTCTATTTTATTTATTTATTTATTTATTTTTCAATTCGAAGAGTTGATTTTATAACATTTAGCGTCACTGACAGGATTCTTTCGAATCAAAGACACACAATGGATACAACAGACCGACCTGTTCTTATTATTGATATTTACTTATTCTCTTATTGATATTTACAGCTGATTTTATAACATTTGACGTCCGTGACAGGACTCGAACCCGCAATCTTCTGATTCGAAGTCAGTCAAAGCTTAAATGAATACAGAAATTAAACAAATTTCACTAAATATGTTAACATAATTACCAATATTTGACACTTTGCTGTAAGAAATACTAAAATTTAATGAATATAAATATGTATTTCTTTAAATTTAATGATTTACGGATTTACCTTTGGAGCTGCAAGCACAGCAGAGAAAAGAAGAGAACCTATAAAATTGTAATATGGATTAGATAATTAATTTAAATATGACATCAGTATAATGAATTTTAATTCAAATAAAAAAAAATTATCGGTAAAAATGATATAGAATCAACGCCAGTATTTTACATAGTAAAATTTTTAACTTACATAAAATGAGGAATTTCATGATCTACTTCCTGCGTTTTGAAGACTATTCAAACTGTAATAAAACAAAATATTAAAGTTACATTGAAAGTCGAATCCTTCTGCTACATACACAGAAGTTATTTAACAACAGTTGAAGTTTAATAGGTAAATTTTATACAGAATTTTAAACTTTAATTTTTAAATTCTTAAATACCAAATTTGTAATAAAATAAACATTTCATCAAAAGGTGTGAAGTTTTAGCTTTTATTGCGTCTCGGTTCCAGTTATAATATAGAGTGTTCAATAATGTAATATCTAATATAATGTAATATGGAATGTAATGAAATATGGTGTAAGGATTATGTTAATTTTATTAACAGTTAAATTTTAAGTTCCTTTCCTGTCAAATTCTTAACTTCAACTTACTACTTCCGGCCAGAACGTAGTTTTGGAATCTTGCTGAATATTTAATGTGGAGGAGCGGTATTTAAACCACAAAGTTACTTACTGAGTGAGAGAGAATCAGAGTTTCTGATTTACGCGCGTCTGCCTTTTTGGCCACTCTCTTTCTCTCTCTAAGCTATTATTACGCTCGGCCGTACTCAGGCCCTTGCTACGCTTTGTAGTCAAATAAGTTAAGGGGCCAACTCGATTTGAGCCTTGATAGCTTCGGCTATACTTCTTTTAGTTAATCTTAGTTTAATTCTTAGTCTTTTATGTTCAAGTCCAAGTGCGGGCTTTGCTTGTACACTTCCAGGCGCAGTTTTGTTAAATCTTATTGGAATAATAAAGGGTTAGTTACCCTTCTATCTTGTTATTTCTTGTCACCGAACTCAAACGATTATTCGCTTATTAGTTCTTAGATTCTTCACTTCCAACATTAACTTAGAATTCCAAAGTGAGGAACTCTACAATGTAATATTGGTAAACAACTAAGCCGTAAATGTAATTTTTGAAAGAAAAAAGTTAGAATTGTTATGAAGCATATAAGATTATATGGAGAGATGAAAATTTTCTTTTTTTTTATTATATTGCAGTAGTGTACAGCAATTGGCTCTCGTGTAGAATTGGGTGCCCCTTCGATTAGCAACAATTTGTTTTAAAATTTTGGTGATGAAATCTCACTTCTGGTTACCATGATAGTTTTAACTTTGTTTTAGCTTTCTGATTTGATTTAAATGAAAATAGATTGATGTGTACATGGACAAATTTAAGGCAGTGCGCAATGCCTAGTTTGTGCAATCCTAGGATGTCTTTTTGTTTAAGTGAAAACAGATCGATGTGTACATGGGCACAGAGTCGAGTCTGTGCAAATATTTGACTTCTTAGTTTGGTTTTGTGAAGCGGCCATCTTGCAATCGTGCCTTCCTGGCGCCGATCTTGGCGTCAAAAACGAATCGTCAAGAAACAGGGGTACCCAATTGCAAACTTTCACCCAGCAATTACATATTTAAACAAATAAAGAATAAATGCAATTTTCATCTGTTAATATTATACAAGGTACGCATATATTACGATGATTAATGTCTTTGGAATTTAATTTACCTTTAGATAAAATTAATGCCCCCCTTCCGATGATTATAATTTTGAAAGATTCTAATGAATTGCAAAGGCTTTCCAACTTTATGTGAAAATTCCAAGTCCGCTTAAAGACATTGCAGCAGACCACACGGTGATGAATTCTTTTGCAACTTTTCCCAGGTCGCAAGCTTAAGGCCAAAATATACTTGCAAATATATTTTGTGAAATTTATCAAAAGTAAAATGAACTAGCTAATGATTTCAGTAATAAAAGTTAAAACATGACATTTTAATCCTGAAATTTTTTAACAGCACTTAGTTTAAAGCAGCAATACTTATTAGTTTGGGAAATTTTATTAGTTTGAGAAATATTGCGTCTCGGTTCCAGTTATAATATAGAGTGTTCAATAATGTAATATCTAATATAACGATTTCCCAAACTAATAAAATACTGGCGAGCTGCGGACAAAGCAAAACTCAAAAGTTCTATGTACACCTGAAACGAAAATGCATAAAAACATTTCAGTACGAATGGAGGAAATTAGTTCATTCTTTCCAAGCAACAACCAATTCGTAAATAATTTTTTTGTTGCCAAACCAGGAAACAAAAACTTTTGCAACTTCTGGTTAATATGTATGACGTCATGATTTAGATTTAATGTAATAATATAACAACGTTTTTTCAATATTGATAAAAGAATTAACGTGGCAATAAAAGATACCGTCCCAATTAACCTGAAACAAAAAGGTTGCCAACAGCAGCTATTTATTTAAAATATTGACATTAAAGGAAAACTTTTCGACATGCAATGACGTCACATGCAATCTCATGCTTTCTTCAATGTCAGAATGTGAATTTATATAATAATAACATATTTAATGATTTAATAATTTAATTTGGCAATTTCAGATCTTATAAAACTTACACATTTTTTATTAACAAACTTTACGATTTGAAAGCGATCAATGGCAACATCTTTTTCGAAATCGGGGAAGATAAGGCCACAAACAAACAGACAGAGGCCTACAGATTTTACTAGTGTAGCTGCCAAGTCCGCTTAAACACACTGCAGAAGACCACACGGAGATGAATTCTTTTGCGTCCTTTCACAAGTCGCAAGCTTAAGGCCAAAGAATACTTGTAAATATGCTTTGTGAATTTTATCAAAGGTAAAATGAGCTAATTAATAATTTCAGTAAGAAAGGTTAAAACATGATATTGTAATCTGAAATTTTTTAACAACAATTAATTTAAAGCAGCAGTACTTTAATCTATTTCCAATAATAATTAAATATTGCTATAGTTAGTTCTCTTCGTTTTGTATTCAGAAGACGGCCCACCAGCGGCCGAGCGGTAAAGTCGCTGAACACTGGTAGTTCGGTCCGAGGTTCGAATCCCGTGAACGGGCTGGCTGCATGGGTGTTTTCGTGGTTTTCCCCATGTGTAACGTGTATACGAGCCAGTTTCCCTTAGAAAGTCCTCCACGGAAGGCATCCCTCCTCTTAGGCCGATAGCCCTAGTGTGCTTTGCCATAATTAAATACACCAACACCAACAGTATTCAGAAGACGTACAAAAATGCTATTTAATGTAGATGCGGCAATAAAGTTAAAGACTGATGTAAAATTATTGGTATTCCTCCTAGTATTATATAAAAATGATTTAACAGAGAAAACATTAAAGCAGTACTATTATGAAATTAAAAAGTACTATATGTATTATATATATATATATATGTAATGATAAAATTCCATAGTCAAGAACACACTTAAAATTTAAACTGTATGTTCTTTTCATTTTTTAATGGCGACGGTCTCTTATTTGAAAGTACGTGGAATTAAATCCACAGCCCCGTAGTCAAGTTGTTTTTTCCGCCTTTTCTACACGTACAGTTACAGAATGCTCTGGAGATATTTAAAGCGAACTGGAATGGCTGACGAGGCTAACGTCATTTCTTGGAAGCTCCGCCTTTCCAAAGGCTATAAAAGAACTCGCAAAGGAATATCGGGGCCTCTTTTCTTTAAATGTAACGATGTCAGTAAACCTTCATACAAAATGTTATTAGTAGTTCTTTTTTATTTACTTCCGGGGATTTATTTTTGTAACTGATATTTTTCCTGACCATAATAATAAATGGATCCTGTCTTTTCAAAACTTATCGTCTGATACTCTGAAGTTTCGACAACGTCTATGATTCTTCATCCAATCTATTTATTCCGGACAAAAGCTGGTGTACATCATATATATATATATATATACACTTATAATGCATGCACTGTAAAAAGCTATTTAAATCTACTTCAGATAAAGTACATTCATAAGTAAGAAGACTAAGAAAATATTAAAATATTTGAATTGAGTTTTGCATTAGTATTAATTCTTATTATTCTTACAATGTTTCTTTCTATACTTTGTAAAAGGAAGAAGGTACTACTGGAGAAGTTTTGGTGAAACCTTAAAATGTTTACGAAAAAAAAAAGTATAAAAAAATTCAAAAAAAAAAAAAAAAAATCTGAAAGCTTTCAGGTTTTGTATTATGCCCAATTTATTTCTTAGTTTAGAGGGGCTTTGTACCTGAAGCACTTGAATGACGTAATCCTACTGCGAATACGGGCATGTGGAAGCCCAAATTTGAAATTTGGAATTTGTTTTATGATCGATTTCATATTTTGTAAAACTTTAACGAATTTTTGATTAACAAACTCAAGGATTTCAAAGCTAGCAATGGAAACGTTGTACAGAAATTTTTTTTTATCTTATTTATAACATTTTTAAACATTTATTTTATTTATTTATCTATCCAACGCGCGAGACTCTGTATCGGAAATTCTAAAGGTATGCTCAATTTAAAACTATTTTTGCGATATTGCTCTCAAACTGAATTTTATGGTGTAAGTGCGAAGAACGTGATATTTAATAAATAAAGGTAACACACAAAATGTTAAAAAACGCCCCTTTGGACGTAATTTAAAATCTCAAAGCTTTCAGATTTTGATTTTTTTTATCTATTAAATATTATGTTCTCACTTAAACGACATAAAATTAAATTCAATAGCAATGTCAGAAAATATTGAAAAACAGCAAAACAGCCTATCTTTAGAATTGCACAATCTCGCGCGGTGGGGATAATCTTTCCCCCCCCCGTACAGTGTCGCCATTGCTCGCTTTGAAATTTTTGAGTTTGTTAATCAAAAAGTCGTTAAAGGTTTATAAAATTTGAAATAGATAATAAAACAAATTCAAAATTATAAATACGGGTTTCCAGATGCCCATGTTCGGCTGGAAGACTACGTTATTCAAAATTGGACGGCTCTAGGTACCGTTGTTTCTTCACAATGTGAAAAACAAACATACATTCAGGCAGATTCTTCACTATTTAATTTCTTTAAATATAATACAGAGTGATAATATTTGGCGGCAATAGTTTGAAAAGTAAATCAACGCAGATAATGAAATGACGCAGAATGCTGTTTTGAGAGTAATAGCCCTTTGTGTCTAACGCCCCTTTTCGGCTAAAAATATAAAGTAAATTAATAATTTTGTCGCGCTTATTTATCTGCTTAATTTGTTTATAGCAGAGAAATAATACATGCTACAATAAAATTTAATTTGATCTGTTATATTTTAATAAAATGCGGGACCAAATCAATTTTTCTTTTCTTCATACGTTAATGGTTAATTTAACTTATGTGGAGATATAATTCCTTGATTTCTGAGATTTGGTTAAATCATTTCAAGAAGAGTGGAGATCATTTCCTAAATGTAATAATTTGTTTTTCGCCTGCTATTACAATAACAATATTCGTATAAGCATAAGGTTGCTTTTAATTGCGTGCAAGATTATGCAATGAACAGACAATTTAGAAGCAGAAACAGCAAATCGGATAAAATAATTATTAAATATTTTAGGTGACCAAAGATAAATTGAAATGCTTTATTTTATTTCTGCAAGTAAAATTAATGTTTCGAAGTTTTGAGAGGGCAGAATAAAACTAAAAGGCTGTCCAAATAAAAGGCTTTGTAAAACCATTCGAAATGCGATACTGGAAATTTCACTTTTATCAGGAAAGGAAAATAATTCTATAGATTAATTAATCTATAGAATTGAACGAATAAATATAACCAATAATTATAACTATTTGCTGAAGTTCTGCAAAATGGTAAAATTATACTTATTTTAAACTTCCATAAAGGACATGCAATATCTAGGTTATTTATTAAATTATTATTACCAATAATGCAAACAAATTTGTGTGCGTATGATGCAAAACGTAAAATGCTGAAACAATATAAAAAATATGTGACAAATATTTTACATAAGATAATGATCTTACATCGAACATGACACACACATGAAAAGTTCTGAAACGAAAATTATTGCAGTTAATGCAAAATATTAATGCAACTCATAATTTGATAAACTCTTTATATATTCATTTGAATTATCCGTAACATATTTAAACCTGACATGTTTAATTAGAATTAATATTGAAAGAGGAAAGTGAGTAAGCATTACTTGAAAATTTTAAGTCTCGGACTCTGTGGAAAGGATTTCTCACTTAAGGAATGCTTATGGATTCTTCGTGTAAAATGCATGGGACTATCTTTTTATTAAAAAAAGGTTGCATTCATCTAGAACTTGCAGTTCATAATTAGAAGAACGAGCTGTATTACGACAATAATCTCCAAAGTTACCTATTAGGGCCGGATTAAACTTATTAGAGTTAAACGTTATTTTACCTTTTGACAAAATTAACATCTTCTTTATCTATAAAAGTTCAAATCAGCATTTATTTAAATTAAATATTTGCAATACAAAATCAGTCGAGTACAGTAACTTATTAATGTTTGAAAAATGTCTTCAGCAAATTATAAATATAGTTTAGAATATGTTTCTAATACCATATTTGAAAGAAAGTGCATTTTACGAACCCTGCTATTTAACATTATTCTAAAATGGAATAAATCATAAGAGTATTAATTATAAAAAATGACATTTAACAAAATCACTTCTATGTCTTTTACGCTAAAATTCAAAATGGTAAGTTTAGAATATATCTTTAATTTTTTTACCTAAACATTAAATTCAAATTTACCTCGGTTTTACTTGTTTAAATTTATCTCGCTGTTCAGTAGAGAATACTGCAGTGCAATTGAATGACTGTGAGAAAAGTAATTTAAAATTGAAATTTCCTTCGACAGCAAAATTCTTCAGCTGAAATGCAAATTCTTCTGCTGTGCAAGTAAACTAACAAGAATTCCTAAAGATAAATGGCTGAATCTTCAAAACAATAAAAATGGTGTCTTACCTTTGTGCTTCTGCAGTTTGAAGGTGAGAATGACTGGTGAGGATTGTTCTTGCTTTTATACCTCCCCGGCAGCTTTAATTCTCCACGTGCTGAACAAAAGGGTCATAAGAAGCAAGCTGCAATGTAAATTTTCCTCCAGTGGATGTAAAAAAAAAGGAAAGATGCATTTATCTAATCATAAGGCAATCGAATGTGCAAATGTGTTCAATAAAAGAGGAACGTAACCTTGTCGTATAAAATAACCTCTGACCCTCAGAAAATTTGTGATAGATTGAGGATGAGCTACGGTATTTAGCATACATTCTATAAATTCATGCTTTCTTTTTTTATTTTTGCAAAAAATTAGCAAGTTGGTAGTGAGTAAGACTTTAAAATAAAAACTGAAACTGGGAACAGAGATCGCGCCATTTTTGGTCACGGAAATAGAGTTGCTTGTGATTGGTAAAAATAACGCTTTGTTTGAAACTGTAGAATTTACCAGTATTCTCCTATTATTTTTACAAATTAAAGTGAGTATTTTATTAGCCCAAACGGCGTTAGCCTAGAAGGGGTATTAATTTCGTTTTGGCATTTTGCGTCGAAAACTTTAAAAGTCTGAATCCCTTTTGAAATTGTAGTATCGCCCTGTATTTTAATTAAAGAAATAAAAGAGTGTAGAATCGGCATAAATGTATGTATGTTTCTCGTATTGTGATAAAACAACGGTACTTAGAGTCATCCAGTTTTGAATAACATACGTCTCCACCTAAGAACACCAGCGCCTAAATAAAGAAACCTAATCACAGAATAGCATCACAGACAGAACTGCCAAATGCACACAATTAATCACAGAACTGCCAAATGCGCATATCATTATGCTTAAAAACTTATCAAAGGTACCTTTGAAGGAAAAAAAGTAAAAAAGAAATTTTATAATAAAGTTTTTGAAACGAAAATTGCTACAGGAATGCAAATGTTATGGGCATCTGGAAGCCCAACTTTGGAATTAGTTTTATTACCTATTTTATATTTTGTAAAACTTTAACGAATTTTTGATTAACAAACACAATTATTTCAAAGCGGGAAATGGCAACACTCTACGGGGAAAAATTATATCCACGGCGCGGGACTGTATATTGGAAATTCTAAAGATATGCTGATTTTGAAATTATTTTACGATATTGCTGTCGAAAAAAATTTTATAGTTTAAGTGCAAAGAACGTAATATTTAAAAAATAAATTTAATCTACAAAACGTTAAAAAATCGTCTTTCGGCGTAATCTAACTTTCTAACAGCACTTTCAGTACTTACGGTAACTAAAGTACTGTAAGGCAAAATGAAAAATCTCAATAAGTTATTCTTCTGCAATATAAAATTCAATCTTAATATTTATTTTTTTCTGCGATTCCAGCGAGTTTTTGGAGAGATTTTTAAATATCAACATATTGAATTTATCAGAATTAGATCCTTAATATAGTTTATTTAATGATGTCAGAAACTTCTTGGAGACATTTCTAATTTTAATTAATAATTTGTTTCATGGGATTATTCTCCATAATAATCTATATAATGCATAATGCTTTTAGATTCATTTCAGATACTCAGAATGTAAAGGAAGTTAAAAATAAAACCATTATATGAAACTTCACACACAAGATTACGTTAATTTGCAAAATCAAAGGTAGTTTGATTCATTCAATTCATTACTGGTCAATTCAGTAAATTTGAAACTTGGGGAATTATGTTTAATTAAATTCAAAACAATAGTTAGAGTAATTCAGATGAAATATAAATTTCCCCCTCAATATTTCTGAAAATACATTTCTTTCATACATTTCTGACGGAGAGTTTGTCAAACATGCATTTGTATTTTTCTGTGGTAAGAAGAATAACTTTTTCTTAGATAACATAGTCTATTTGCAAATGCGTTTGTCTTCACTAAAGCCAGGGGCGTAGCTAGAGTGTCCAGCGCCCGGGAACAACTGAAGAATTCGCGTCTCTTTCTGTGTGCCAAAAATGGAAAATATTTCATTAAAAAATTTCGTAAAATCAATTTGGCGCCCCTTGGATGCTGCGTCCGGGGACAGATGTCCCCCTTGCCCCTCCCTAGCTACGCCACTGACTAAAGCAAATGGTAGAAATCGTCTGTATTTTAAGCATCCGCAAAATGGTATGTATATGTTACCGTGAAAGACCGAAATTGGAGAATGTCGGCTTTCACCGGAGAATATCAACATTCACCAAATACGTCGGTGAAAGATCGAGTATTGCATTACATTCTTGTACATACGGACCCTCACCGGTGTATATCGACAATCACAGATATGCTCTGGTGTAGGTCGAAGAGAGAGGAGTATATGTATATGCTGTCATTGCAAAAAGAAGTGTTCCACAAATAAATGCAGTTGTAAAAGCAAGGGCCTCTTGCGCAATTCAAAGTGTCCTAATAGTCCTAATAAATCGTTGCAATAAATAAGATTTGAATCACATAATTTAGTAAGTTTTTAACTTCTATTATTTTCTTTTCTCATTTTGAATGAACTGTGTGTTTTAAGTTCTTATGTTCTTATTTTAAGTCTGAAGTGCGTTTTTTCGCGACTGAATTACAGAGAAGAAAATACAATATTCTTATATGTTCAACATTCACCATTAGTACATGGTGAATGTCGACATTGACCGGACATTGACCTGAAAGTCAGAAATAAGAGTATTTGGAAAATATTTCGGACATGCAGCAAGCGACTATGTGAATGTTGACATCCACCAGTGAAAGTCGACATTCTCCAGATTTCGGTGTTTCACCGTAACATATATAAGGAAATACTGTTTTGATCGAATCTATCAGTCCACCGTGAAAAACGAGTGTCTCCGTAAAAACGGTTGCGTTTAACATCGAGTGGCCCGAAATGGTGGCTAAGTGAGTTTGTCTTTTAAAAAACCGTGGTTTTTTTAAAGCGTCGGAAAAAAGTATTTAAATATTTCTTGAAGGGATTTTGCTTCAATTATGAATAGGTCAGGCATGATTTCGTTGCAGCAGCCAGCAGCTTGACCACCTCAGCTAGAATTTTTTATTGGCTTATGCTTAAATTATTCTCTTTTTATAATCCAAACATGGGTCAGAGGTCAAAGTCATCTGGGAAACATAAACTGCTGTTATTAATTGGGATAAGTATTCAAGTTCCCGTTGATTCCCTCTTCGATTGAAAAATGATCTATACATGTTGTTGTGAAACTTGTTTATTAACTCTTTATTTCTGAATAATGATAATTTCCCGATATACTCTTTGCTTTTGGTAGTAGCATTATGTAACTGTATTTCACAAAAAAAAGAAAATCAAAATTTAAAAGCAAGCTAAAATCTGAATAATAAAATTACACTCAAAGGTCAAAATTAATTTTTTATTACAACACATTAAGAAATGAACAGCATGCAGAAGCATAAATCAGAAGTTTAATGCTATAAAACTTAAGCTATTTTTCGATGAGCTACTTTGGCAAAAGATTTCTAAATAGGTTATGCGTTGGCTAAAAGGGATATGCAAATTGGCTTGTGTTATTAATTAGCAATATTTAGCATATGCCAATATGACCAGTTTTTAGCATATTTAGCGTAATGCCAATTGTTTAGCATATTAACAAAATGCCAGTGTATTTTTTCGTATTATACACATAATTTTGGATTAAATTGGATTATTCAGTTATGGCAAAGCACACGAGGGCTATCTGCCTAAAGAGAGGGATGCCTTAGTGGAAGACTTTCTAAGGGAAACTGGCTCGTATAACACGCTACCTGGGAAAACCACGAAACTCCCATGCACCACCCGTTCGCGGGATTCGAACCTCGTACCGAACTACCAGAGTTCAGCGTCTTTACGGCTCGGCCGCTGGTGGGCCTACATATAATTGTAACTAAATAGGATACGCATTTATTGCAGAAACCAGTAAACCAAACCTTAGGGAGCAATCACAAAATATGTACATTTTCTGTAATATTTATTGATCGAATATTATTCGCAGAAATACTGAAGAAAAAAATCTGATGTGTCCAGCAAATGACTTCCTTGTTCGGAATATTAAATTATAAGCATTTTTTGCTGAATTTCATTTAAACGTATTTCCTCGAAATTCATTAGAGATGTATTTCTCATTCAATTAATTCAGTTCTCATTGTAACAAGGCAAAAATATATAATACCTCAAAACATTTTTATTAAAAATAAAAAAAATATAAAAGACCAAATTCAGTTAGAATAATTAAAAACAATTTTTAAAACTAAAATTAGATTTTCTAACAAAAACAAGCAATTCCGCCAAAGGGCCGGAAGACCAAATTTTCAGTGCACAAAACTCAAAAGTTTCCTAATGATCCCACTCGGCAAAAAGACACTGAAGGTGCAGAAACTGAATTCATTCACTATTCTGCTAAGTTTCAAATGTAAACAAATACGGCTGCTGTGGTAAAACAAAAAATGAAGCATAGGCGCACTTTTAAATTGTTGATAATTCTGCAGCTATAACATGCAGGTTAACCAAATGCATAAAACCCTTAACCGGAAGATAAGAGCAACATAATGCAATCGTTTATAAACCAAAAAATATACAATTTACCAGCATATAAGAATAAAAAACTGAACTCACGGAGCCGAGTAACAAAGTGGGTATATTATATATACACACACAGCCCTTCGGTGCGGTCACTTGCAACCCAAAAGGGAGGTGCACAACTACATGTTTTTGCAGTCCTATATTTTAAATTTCAACATTCTGAGGCAGATACATACAGTTGAGTTATTCAAGATACATATATGCATACGTAGAGACATCACGAAAAAATGTCTTCTGTATCCATTTTAAATCATTTTCATGCAGCTTGTTTTGGGAAAAAGAGACCTTTATTCTGTCCTTACGTACAGATGACAAGCACAAACATCGTTAAATTTCATTCGATAACTGTTAAAAATGGATATTTTGATTGAAATATGATGCCCGAAAATTTTCTCGATTATAATACTTCCTTTACTTCGTGCAGGGAAGTAAAAAGCAAAAGCCTAGCTTGGGTTTTTCATGCCTTCCCAGACATGAAAAACTCAGAATATATCTTATATATACTCGGAATATATCTTATGGATAGCATTGTTTAAACATGGGTATTTTGACACAAAATCTCACGATGATACAAAATGACACGTTTCTCTGAAACGACGTATACATTTTTCTCCCATATTTTGATTCTATCATTCAAATTGTGCCAAGTTTTGTAAAAATCGCACGAGTTCATTTTTAAACGTAAACTCTCAAAATTTTAGTTCCTCAGTGTTAATTTAGTTTGCTTCTACATTCACTAATATCTCCTTTTTTTACTTCCTTGTACGAAGTAAAAAGGAAGTATTGTAAAAGGAAGTATCGAAGTAGATATAATTAAATACAGTAAGTTTAAACAAAATGCAAGAAAAAATGCGTGTAATTTAATATTCCGTACAAGGAAGTCACGTGGTGTACAAATCAGATTTTTATTAAACGAATTTAATTCCTTCTTTCATAATTCTTTAATTTTAGGTTTTTTAGGTTCCATCCAAACAAAACTCGCGTGTATTTTCTAATTTTTTTTCAAAATTTGTATTTTTTAGTAATTTTTATAAAGTTTTCGAAAAACGTTTTGAATTCTAACCTGTAAAATTTTTACCATCACCCTAAAATAGATGTATTTTTGATCCTACCAGCAAAACATTAAAGTGAATTTATATGATGGCACGTTTTGAAATTTGGTATCATTATTAAAAACGATAATAATATCAAATGTGTTTTATGCTGTTTGTTAAAATTATTTGAAAGAATGATCGATATACTTTTTATTATTTTTTTTCGCTCGTGCATAGTGAAAAAAGGGAAAGGAAAATAGGTTACTATAAATTAAGTATTTCGCCAAGCGAATTATTCTCGGCGCAAACTGTATAAAAGCGCGCCAAAATGAATTTTTAAATTTCTCAGTACGTGTTTCACCAAATTTTACGCAATTTAATATTTAGGCATAATCTGAGTCATAGAATCGAAACATTGAAAAAGAAATAGGTATGTGTTCTCAGAAAAAGTCGGATTTTGTGTGAAAAAAATCATGTTAGAACAATGGTGACGAAACATGGATTATCAATCAAGTCCAAACTGTTTGTACCCGCTCATCTGTTTGTACAGTCTAAGTTCGAGTGCCATAATTTTCTTAACTTCGTTGTGATGGTTGATCCATTTGACTGATGTCCTGTCCTGTATGCGAAGGTGATGCTTTTTCTACTTCTTCATCTACCAAGTTGAGTTCGGGATCTTCAGCGGTAAATCTGTCACTGGTGTTGTAGAAGGTAGTAGCTTCTGAACAGGATACGCCACCTTCCGGATCAGAGCAAGATAACGTGAGCTGGTTTTGGTTATCACAAATGAAAGACCATTGTCGAGTCTCTTTAGAACCATCCTCTCTTTCGACAGAGTGGCAGACGTGGAAGATTGCGCAGCCGTTGTCTACATCGGCATAGTAACCATCGTTGAAGCAAGAGAATGTTGTTTTAACCGGAACTACAAAAATGTGAAAGCCAGCAGGGAGGGCATACGCCTTTCGTTTTGCTCCCTAAAAAGTGAAACTCTTATGCTTTAATCAGAATATTATAGACAAATAATTATATAGAATTACAAGTTCGTGTACTTGTAGAAAATTTGTAGTGAATAACTGAAAAATAACAAATTCGAAGCTGAATTACTCAATTATCTTGTAGATACTGTGGTACTTTTTAAATTTTTAGAAGGAATTACATTGAAGTATTTATCACTATAAATAAAAGTATGCTATAATATAAATACAATACAAATACAAAAATTATATAATTACAAGTTCGTGTACTTGTAGAAACTTTGTATGAATAACTGAAAATAGCATTCGAACTGAATTACTTAATATCTTGTAGATACGAGGTACTTTTAAATTTATAGATGGAATTACATTGAAGTATTTATCTATAAATAAAAGTATGCGATAATATTAAATACAAATACAAATAATTATATAGAATTACAAGGTCCTGTACTTGTAGAAAATTTGTAATGAATAACTGAAAAATAACAAGTTCGAAGCTGAATTAATTAAGTATCTTGTAGATACTGAGGTACTTTTTAAATTTTTAGATGGAATTACATTGAAGTATTTATCACTATAAATAAAAGTATGCTGTAATATTAAATACAAATACAAATACAAATAATTATATAGAATTACAAGTTCGTGTACTTGTAGAAAATTTGTAGTGAATAACTGAAAAATAGCAAATTCGAAACTGAATTACTTAATTATCTTGTAGATACTGAGGTACTTTTTAAATTTTTAGATGGAATTACATTGAAGTATTTATCACTATAAATAAAAGTATGCTATAATATTAAATACAAATACACATACAAATAATTATATAGAATTACAAGTTCGTGTACTTGTAGAAAATTTGTAGTGAATAACTGAAAAATAACAATTCGAAGCTGAATTAATTAATTATCTTGTAGATACTGAGGTACTTTTTAAATTTTTAGATGGAATTACATTGAAGTATTTATCACTATAATAAAAGTATGCTATAATATTAAATACAAATACAAAGAATTATATAGAATACATTCCTGTACTTGTAGAAAATTTGTAGTGAATAACTGAAATAACAAGTTCGAAGCTGATTAATATATCTTGTAATACTGAGGTACTTTTAAATTTTTAGATGGAATTACATTGAAGTTTTATCACTATAATAAAAGTAGCTGTAATATAATACAACAAATACAAATAATTATATAGAATTACAAGTTCGTGTACTTGTAGAAAATTTGTAGTGAATAACTGAAAAATAACAAATTCGAAACTGAATTACTCAATTATCTTGTAGATACTGAGGTACTTTTTAAATTTTTAGAAGGAATTACATTGAAGTATTTATCACTATAAATAAAGCTATGCTATAATATTAAATACAAATACAAATACAAATAATTATATAGAATTACAAAATCATGTACTTTTAGAAAATTTGTAGTGAATAACTGAAAAATAGCAAATTCGAAACTGAATTACTTAATTATCTTGTAGATACTGAGGTACTTTTTAAATTTTTAGATGGAATTACATGAAGTATTTATCCTATACATAAAAGTTGCTATAATATTAAATACAATACAAATACAAATAATTATATAGAATACAAGTTCGTGTACTTGTAGAAATTTGTAGTGAATAACTGAAAATAACAAATTCGAGCGAATTACTTAATTATCTTGTAGATACTGAATTACTTTTAATTTTTAGATGGAATTACATTGAAGTTTTATCACTATAAGTAAAAAGTATGTTATAATATTAATTTAAACAAATTTAAATTCTTAAAAAATACGTATTAAAGTAAAAATTCTAAAAAAGGAAAAAACCAAAATAATTTAAATTAATTTAAAATATGCAACTGTAAAGATTTAATTCTCGAACTAATCTACAATCATTTAAATTCAAGCTAAGCAAATCAAGTGCAATCTATCCAAAAATAATTTACTAATTTAATAATTAAAATTAAATTAAAGAATTTTTTTTAAAATGCATATGTAATGATCGTAGAGTAGGCAGGAGACAGACTTATCAAGGGAAGTTGCCTCCAACCTAACTCTCTCTCCAATCATTCAATTCGTGTTTTCGTCATTCATGCAGGCAAGGTAAAAGTCAAACCAAAGTAAGTCCAATAAGTGGTACCCTTAGAATTAACATGTAAGTATTAACATTTAAGAATTAAAGTTCAAAAGGAAAGTACATTAAGTCTTTTGAGAAACAGCAGTAACTCAGAATTAAACTATTTCTTAAAAAGTTAAATTTTTAAAAATTAATTTTTTACAATATAAAAAAAAATCTAGAAACCATGTATTTTAGAAATCCTTGTCTACACAAACTTCCCCTACTCGATATGCATATCATAAAAAAACTATAAAAGAACTATACATAATCCATATAAACCAATAAGAAATAAAAACATTTTTTACTTTAATACGTATTTGTTAAGAATTTAAATTGTTTAAATTTAAATTTCATTCCTTGCAGCAATGGCGCAAGAATATTTAATTAATATGTATTTAAATTAATTTTTTTTAATTAAACTCAATTTATTCTTATGAAACAGTTATAATATTAAATGGTACTTTTCCGGCGCAGGCGATAAAGTTGCCAAAAATGGTCTGTCGATGCCAAACGGATTATTTTCGCTGGTAACCTTTTACGCTTGATTTTCAAAACAAGTAGCAGCAATTTCTTATCAGATTCATTGTTTCTTTCAAAAATGGCATAAAACTAGATAGAACTTTTACCAGATAGTTCAATTTTATGCTCTAAGTGATAGAAATTACTTTCAACGGGTTAGGCTTAGATTCGCCGGAGTTGCGGAAGTTGCTTCTTTTTCTTTCGGAAAAATCACAATTTCTTCGTTTCTGCTAAATAAACTTCTTTAGAGGATATCGTGCTGATAACGGATAGAAATTACTTAAATGGCAGATATATTTTGAAAATATAGTAGCAAGAAATAAGCAAACTACAGATGCTCGTTACATGTTTAGTTAACCGAGTAAATAAATATGTAATGTACACTTTTGGTTTACTTATTTCTCTCTACTATATTTTCAAAATATATCTGCCATTTAAGTAATTTCTATAACTAAGGTCTTTCGCGGTAATTAAGCCAATTAGGATGCAATCACACCGCTCACTCGAAGGCGAAAATATAGAAAAAGCGAAGTCAAGGGTTAAATTCATCCATTCTAATGAGAATGCTCTAATGAAGTAAAGCACTGCGGTTTTACATAATTTCTTAATAAGCTATTCGTACGAATTGAAATAGTTCTTGCATTTAAACTTCTATTTCAAATTAATTTAAGATTTAGCTCGAAATTAATGTAGATACTGATCATATTTTTGTAGCGTAATTTACGTGAATGAGATCACTTGGGGGCATGTGATACGAACCGGTGAATCAGGATGTTGAACCATGATAGCATATAGTAAATTCTTAAATTAATGTCCTTTTACGAATTTATTGCTTTTATTTATTGTCTTTTTACAAAATTTTAAATGATATTAAAATGTTTATGCTTTCAAAATAAAAAATTCCTAGACCACAAAACTAACGTTTGTTATTTATGTGTATACTGTGTGTTGTCGCCAATAAAGTCTGCTTGGCGTGATTTGCGCCGGCCAAACGGGAAAGTACCTATTAAATTCCTTCTTTCCCTTTTGTTACGAATTTTGTACTTAGATACGTAATTTTAGTATAATTATAAGTAAAATTGTTTTACTTATCTATGTAATGTAAAACGAGACCAATTTTAAGCGAAAGCTATGTCGGAAAAGTAAGAATACAGGGGCAAGTGCATTTAGCATTGGACAAATGAGTATCTCGGTAATTTGGCGATAAGTCGCCCAAAGGTGCTAAATTTGGCGACATTTTACTCCTGTTCATGTATAACCGTAATATGTATTGGAATTGAATAAATGCAATTGACCACTATATTAGCCGTAACTGTAATTCCACACTCTTATTGCTTTTGGTGCTACTTTGGTAGACGGTTGCCCGAATTTTGGCGATTTTTGGCGACTTTTTTTGGAGAGCGATACGATTTATGGTAAATCCATTGCTGGACAAGTTATTTATGGTAACTGATACATTGTTGTCATTTTATTTAAAAAATAATGCATTTTATTATGCATAAATTCCGTCTTTTAAATATTATTAATGGCTTCTAAATATTAAAAATGGATTTAATTTTGCTTTTTATTTGAAATACAAATTTTATTGTTTATGATATTGTTACGAATTTGGTATTTAAAAAGCTAATGTTAGTTCAATTATAAATTAAATGGTTTTATTTCTCGCGCAGGCAGCGCGTGACGAATATTAAAGAAACCTAAGTCGGAAAATTGAAAATACAAGAGCGCGGCATTAAATAAATAAATTCTCTTTTTGATTTCGAGAAAGTACTGGAAAATTCTAGCGCGTGATTTAAAAATCTTATAAAAGGAGGAAACATCTCAGTTTGTAGTAGTTGCTTATTTGTTGTTGTTTAGAAAACTACTGTTGTTGATTGTAGCGAATTCGCGGATTAGCGTCTTTAGCTGTTTTGAATTACTTTCTATTGGACATTTGATATTAAAAGAAACTACTGTGAGATATTGTAATACTGCGTGATAATTGAGAAAATTTAAGCATTCTTGTTGTGATAATAATAAATTTTTGTTCATTTTTTTTATCGGACTTGTGCATTCATTTCATAACGAACCCGTACGCACGCAACAATTTTTGTGTCAGAAGTGAGATTTGAATGCCAATAACAAGAGCGTGGAAGAGCAATTAAGGCAGTTATATCAGCCTTTGCCTCATTTAAAAAGAGAAATTAAAGAGGAAATTAATTGGGCCAGGAATCCTTAAGGAAGAAATGAATTGGGCCAATCCGTAAGAAAATGAAAGCCGTTCAGCTGGTCAAGAGAATAAAAAGAGAAATTACATGCATAATAGAAATAAATTTGAAGCTATGGAAGGCAGAATTGACGCAGTTGAAAATAAAGTT